GCTGGTATGTTCTCTTTAGAGAGAAGACTCTTTCCCCTGAAGCCCTAAACGAGCCATACTTGTTCACTCTTTGCTAACCGAGGTCTGAGCTGCAGCTTTTGGGTTTTTTGGAGTTCTTCTGAGTTTTGCACGTCTGACCTTGGGGTGAATTTTTTGGAAGACTTGCAGCTGAATGTTTTCAATTTGTGAATAATCTCCCTTAGTATTTGTAGACGGCCTTATAACCCTTCCCAAGATCTTTGCTGACATCTTTCCTCCTTGGCTTGGTCCAAACTAGCAAAAGTGCCATAAGTAGTGGTGCTCACACCGACTGATGATCCTTTAATTAAGTGCATTTAATAAGCAGCACCTGGCTGCTACTGACCTTTAATATTCCTAATTCTTATAGAAGCAGGAAGCGTGCCATTTACTTAGACTGAAAGCTAATAAATGCGCTGAACTCACTGTTTAGTGTGTTTTACAGAACTATGGACCAGAACAATCCTAAGGCAGGGTTGGGTCGATTTCTGCTCCTCTCTATCAGCCCATCCCAGCAGCCATGACATCTGGTCAGACCCCCTTCATAGCAAAGACGTCTATCAGGATGTCTGAGGCAGCAGTTTGTAAGAAGGAGCTGTAGTTTACACCTTCGTAGGAAATTCTCTGCAGATGATCAGCATGTGAATCTAAATTACATTCAGCCACAGACTTCACACTGAAACAGCGGTCTTTGGCAGCTTAATGAAAAGTTGGAACAGAACGGGTGTTCTGCAGAAGAGTGGTGTGGTCAGAAACATAATAGGAGAGAGGCACAGCATATTTAAAACTAGATCTCAGCCTCTCTTTGTAGGACAGAACAGCTGCCGGTCGTCTCAGGAACAAAGAGGCTCTGCAGAGCTGCTGCTCTATGTGCTCTGGGTTTGAGCTCAGAGGGGATTTCTGCTCAGCTCTTTGGATAGCTTTGCATCAGTGGGAGAGCAGGGCTTTCTGTCTGGCTCTGAATGTGCCGTCCATAGCAAACGACTACTTCTTTGCTGAAAAATTTATCCCGCTCCAACCAACAGGGGAAAAACTACAAATAGCGCGCAGAGAACAGGAGTCAATATCAGAATTTTAACACTCTTCCTGCTCCGGAGAGACGAGCCTGAAACACGGCGTTGATGAAATCTTTATGCGTCTGTCAGGATGAACAAACCAGGTCTGCAGAAACATCCTGCTTTGTTAACGTACTTGTTATCTCTGCCGACCACAACAAAACGCTGAAAGATGGCGCCGTCACTCTGGCTTCCCTACGGACTCTGTGAAGCTCGGCTCCAGTCAGGAGGAGACGACCCAGCTCGGATCGGGATAGGGCAGATGAAACCGGGCCCACAGTATGCAGTGCACGTAAAGGAAACATACTGGAGTTATTTATCCGTGGATTCTCCCAAAGCTCCATGTTCTTTCTTTACCGTTTCCCCCCAACAAACAGTACAGTGTGCTGCAGTGATGCCTCGCTCACAGCTTCATTATTTCTCCTTCTGTTTAAGCCATAATAAAGCTTTACACCACATTTATGAACAAAGTGTGAATCTCGACTTTGATAGCGAGATTTTTGCGAGGTCCTCATTAGTCAGGTCTCCATGGCAACGCTGACACGTGTGTGTTTGTGTGTGTGTGTCTATGATAAATTTGTTTTCAGGTTCACGTCTGTCCATCAGCCTACTGGAAGAGGAGCTAAAACTCAGCAGAGGGATTTAAAACACACCTAATTTTAAATAAACGATTGTAAAGGAATTAATTCATTATTAATTATATTAAAGAACATTTCAATCACAGGTTTAATGAGTCGAAGCCCAGATTTGGATCCCGCTGAAACATTTTAAACTTGTAGTATATGCAAGAACACACATATGGACACAAGTATGACGCAGCCTGCACACATCACACCTACAGGAGCTGCTCGACCGTCTCTGCACTCAGTGATGTCTCTGACACACTGTGCAACCAGGTAAAGATGGTGGTTGGTGTATAATTCAGTTATTTGATGTTTGGGACTGACTGCAGGTAGCTTCAGGTTTCCTGTCCGGAGGCAACCTGACTTAGTCTAATCTGGAGGGATGATTCAAACAGACTGTTGAAGGTTTGCAGTTAACACGTAATCCACCAACGGTTTGGACCTGTGCAGGATATACTGGACAAAGGATGATGAAGATGGAGCTGCCAGCAAGGAGGAAAAGAGGAAGACCTCAGAGGAGTTTCATAGATGCAGTGAAGGAGGCCGTGCAGATGATTTGGAGTGATTGTGGTGAAATAGAAGTTAAGGAAGAAGAAGTCTCTATCAGGCCATCACAGCAGCTGCAGCATCATCTGCAAAGTCATGTGTTTTTATACTGATGAAGATTAAGAGACGTAACCCAATACTGTTTCCTTCTGTGTATCGCAGACTGACTAAAAACTCCTGAACACAGAAGTTGTTTCTACCAAAGGAGGGCATCAGTGTCACTGCAGTGAGATGAGTGCTTACCGGTCCAAAGCTGTTGCTGTCCAGACTGTGGCCGTGATGATCTCCCTCGATCCAGAAGTGACCATCTGGAACTCGAACATAGCGGTTCTTGTAGGCCAGAGTCCTGAAAAGATGGAAAATGAGAGAAACTTCTAAGAAAGCAAGAACTTTGTTTTCAGTCAGACGTTCATTATAAATTCATTCAATTTAATCGAGAAGACATTGTCGAGATGACCTGCTGAAGTTCACGCTGAGCATCACAGTGGGAAAGAAAGCTGATGGAGGTAACTCTGAACTTGGCATGGTTGTTGGTGCCACATCTGCTGGGATTTTCCCACAAACACATCTTTAGTGTTTACAGAGTGAGCCACAGTAATCCAGTAACGCGCCTTGCTAATGTCAGGGGTCAGAGGAGAGTGCCCAGATTGGTTCGAGCTGACAGAAAGGCAGCGGTAGGTCGAATAACCATTTGTTACAACCAAAGCCTGCAGAAGAGCATCTGTGAGTGCACAACATGTTGAACTTTGAGGCAGAAGTCCACACTGGGTGTCACTGCTGCCAGCCTAAAGCTGCATTTCAGAGTCTCACCAGAACTGCAAAATAGAAAAGCATTGAAACATCTTTTGAGTCTCGACTTCTGCGGTGACATTCGGACGGTATGACGTGAACAACATGAAAGCATGGATCCATTTCATGTTTTTCTTGGGTCCCAACTGAGCATAATTTAAACTCTGCAGCCGACTTGAGTAATGTTTCTATGTCCATCTCTTTGTGACCACAGTGAACCATGATGGCTCCACTCATGCTGAGAGGACCACAATTAAACTCCTCAATTCAAACACAGAAATACAACAAAATCAAATGTCGCCATTTATATTCAGACTTCAGGCAGCATTAAATTTAATGCAACACCAGCATTGGAAAAATATTACTGTTAAACTGCAGCGATGACAGCAAATACACTCATTTTTACTGATGCATGAAATAAATCAGGTTCCAAGTATTGATGGCAATGATAATAAAAGTAAGGAATGTTCACCAGAATTATGATGGTTTTGTAATTTCCACTGTTTGTTTTCAGTTCAGTTTAGGGTCAGTTAGTTATTTCAGTTATATATTTATATTTTATCACACCCAGCTTTATTCTTTGATTTAACTTTGGATATCTATGACGACCCGACTCACAAACAGAACTGACTAGGAACAAAGCTAGCGGGCTAACTTTAGCCTGCATGACGTTATTTTTTTCAGTCACAATACAGTAAAAATATAATGACAACTACTCACAAGGCAACTATACAGGCTGCCTGGATGGAAGCAAGCTGTCCAACTTGGACTGACTGCAGTCACTCTCACTTTCACACTTAAAGTTCATTTACTCTCTGAATCAGTTGATGAGGTTGTAAACTTTAGCCTTTTCCTGTAGTTTTTTCCCAAAACTGACAAAAACAACAAGTGAACCAAACACGTCTCTTTAAACCAAGTGAGAATGTTTAGTCCACTTATCCGCTCTTTAAGTCTGACGTCATTAGCCGTTTCTGGGTCCAAACTCCGCTTCAGGTCCCAAAGTCAAACGAACACTGCGGCATCACTGAGAGTTACATAATAAATAAAATGATCAGCGTTCTGCTCTACCAGGTGTAACAATTAAGTTTAACATCCAGGCATCCATGAAAACAGGATTTATGAAGTGTAACAGAGTTAGAAGTTAGCAGGAAGTTAGCTTGCTAGCTTCCACCTAAACATGATGTAGCATGTTCTGACTGAGAGATTTCTGAAAAATTCAAACGTACAGCTCTGCTATCACTTCCAACATAAATGAAGACAGAAAACTAAACAGCAGTGACGTTTGTAGGGTTACTGAAGTTGGGCTAGCTGGTATATAATGATGTGCTACGTGACCGCTAGCGACACAGCTATGCTAGCATAGCATAAACACAGTGAAGCTGGAGGATGAACGCTAACTTTTTTCCACTGGATAAAAGTTAACGTGAGGGTTCCTGATGGTTAGAGACAAATGCAATCGCATGGCAGGATGCTGTAAACGGACCAAACTTCAGTCAGGAGAACAACTGAGATAATCCATCCACAATACGAGGTTAGTCATTAATATACTGCTGCATGGGCTGGGCTGTAGTTACATCATAAGGGTTAACACAGTGTTAAAAACTGAGCTTTAAAATGAAGAGCGATGATAAAAACTGAGAGAAGCCGACAGTGATCACTGACTGTTTTGAGGGGCTTGTTCAGATTAAATAGAACAAGATACAAAACATTAAAACATGTTAAAAACACAATAGCCTTAATAAATACAGGGTAGTATGGGCTGGAAGCAGGATTCGTCATTACTTAAAGACCAGATTGGCCAGATTGCATTAATTCTACTGCTAGCTGCTATTCCACACTTACCGTTTGTGTACTCTGCACATATATGGTACCTGTTGTATCTCAGATTGCAAAACATACCCAACTACAGGAGGGCGCTTAGCTCAAATTGCAGCATACACCTGGTAGCTGTGTTGGATTGAGGTTGGATCACATTCACAACATAAACAAACTGCTCTGGAGTTCATTTGAAACCTGATCGAGATGTGTTTTTGGTGCACACCAGAACAACTGTAAACTGATAGCAGACTAATTGCTGTGTCTTATCATCATTTCATTGCCTTAGTGATGCACTAAAGTCCCTTTGACGACTGCAGCTGACTGCGAGTTGTCCGAGACCTGGTCCTCATCTTCAAAGGTAACACGGATGCAAGTTGTTTGCACACGGTTGGAATCATTTTGATTGTGTTACGGTCTCTAACTGTAGCATTAGCTAATGTTAGTGGTGTTGCTGGTATATCTCCAAAGGTTGATTCTGTTCATCTGGACGTAGCGTTTTGTGGGAGAAACGTTTCGTCATCATCAGGTGACTTCTTCAGTCTCAGCTGACTGCAGGTTTCAATCTTATAAACAGGACATTTGCATAATGACTGAAACCAGCCCACTGAAGGAACAATGGGCTGGGAGGTCAGTTCCTTAATCTTAATTATGCAAATTCTCATGACCATTGATCAATAACCAATGATCAATGGCCATGAGTCCCATTCACAGAGAGTTGGGGAATGGCTGCAATCACAGCATTGTAACATGGAAAGATGTACCCTTAGGCCCCCTCCTCGATTCAGAGATGGTCTTTCCCTTTTCACGTAAATGGCCTCCTTGACTCCGCCCTCAAACCAGCGTTCCTCCCTGTCCAGGATGTTACATCCTCATCATTGAAAGAGTGTCCACTGGCCTGTAGGTGTGAATAGACTGCAGAGTCCTGGCCTGACGAAGTAGCTCTTCTGTGTTGTAGCCAGAGGTTGTTTGGTTTCCCCGATGTATAAATCCTGCCAATCCTCCTGCACTTAACAGCGTACACTATGTTACTCTGTTTGTGTCGGGGACCCGATCCTTGGGGTGGACTAGTTTTGGGCGCAGCGTGTTTTGGGGGTTAAAAGCCACAGAGACCCGGTGTTTAGAAAAAATGCGTCTCAACTGTTCCGATACTCCTGACACGTACGGGATCACTACAGGTTTTCGCTTGGGCAGCGGTTGTCCTTCTCTCCTGGATCGGCTGGAGCTTTCTTTAGGTGCCTTTCCAGCCCACCAGCTCACCCTCATCTTCAGCCTCTCCCTATGTCAGGCAGCCATCCCACCCTGTCTAAACTCAGACACAATCATCTCAGTGCCGAAGAAGTCTCCCATCTCTAGCCTGAAGGATTAGCGCCCTGTGGCCCTCACTCCGGTAATCATGAAATGCTTTGATCCTGAAGTTGGCAGCATGGTTTTCAGAGAACAACCTGGCACTGAACACCAAGAAAACCAAAGAGGTCCTCTGGGGAGGTAACCACATTTACTCAGGGCCTTCTTGATGTTCTTCTGCCTCTCTGGCCGCTGTGTCAGTGGGGATGGTGTTCGCTCTGTGTTGTAGCATCCTGATGACGCCCAGTTTGTGCTCCAGTGGATGATGAGAGTCAAACCTTAAATACTGATCCGTATGTGTAGGTTTACGGTACACGTCAGCTTTTAGATGTCCCCCATTACTGATGGAAATCTCACAGTCTAAGAAGGCTAACCTGCCACTTTTCATATCCTCCCTGGTGAATTTGATGTGTCGGTCCACCGTTAATGTGATCCGTGAATTGTGGTTTGGAGATTTACTTACCTGGATGATTGAGAACTCAGAAGTCCCAAATCCGTCACATAGAAGTCACAGGCTGTTTGAGGTGACCGTAAGCTGGAAAATTTCTTTTTACTGCTTAAGAAAAACCCTGAAACACTGAAGTGCATTTCCTGCTTTTAGCATGTTTCAGACTTTTTGTATTGTGCTTTTAATCTTAACAGGAGCTCACAAAATGATCTCCAGCGGTAAACTGATCAAAGTGTTCATGTGGGAAGACAAAAAAAAGCAGATGAAAATCAGGAGAGGATAGCCGTTAACGTTTTCATTGACGGTGGATCAAATTATCGGCTTCATTTCATTATCCTTAATCATCAGCCTCCAAATCATCTCCTGCAGCGTCACTTCCCTCCGTCACCTTATCACTCAAACAAAGATCTGATCAGAGGTTTCAGCCTAACAGAGGTGGTGGAGGGGGGCGGTGCTCATCTCGTCCTGCAGCCGCTTCAGTTAGCTCGTCGCGTTTATGAGGAGAAGGTCCGACGCCCTTCATCATCCCTCTGGACTGTTACGAGGCTGTTGCAGCCATGATTTATCATCCAGCTTGGGAACATTGTGAATTATAGCCTCAGTGACTTTTTAAATGGAAATTTGTCTGCAATTCCTCACGCATGTGTGTGTGTGTGTGTGTAGGTTGGTCCTGCAGGCTGACCAAAGAGGCCTTGGATACATAAATATTGATTTAGCCATAGCAGCTGAATTTACTGACTCACAAAGAAAAAGAAATAAGAGAAAACAAGCTGGGACCTTTTTGCAGAAATAAAAAGGTTGCAGTTTATATGACACCAATTCTCTGCTACATTTGACAAGGAATGAGTATGAAATCTTTAAAGAACCAAGGACAATTGAGTTTACTGCATTTAGTCTTTCATTCGACTCAGCTCAGTGTGCTGTGGTGATGAATCAAAGCTACAAGAAAAAGAAATCATCAT